CAGTCTTGTCATGTACAGGACTGTGTAGTTGTTTTCACTACAAATGTCATAAAACAGTCTTGTCTCATGTACAGGACTGTGTGGTTGTTTTCACTACAAATGTCATAAAACAGTCTTGTCTCATGTACAGGACTGTGTGGTTGTTTTCACCGCAGTCTTGTATATGACAAGACTGCTTTATGTATTGTATTGAAGGAAATCTTTCTTTAAGTAACAGAAATTCTCTTATCCCATTCTCCTTAAACTTCGGAGGATTTCAATACCTATTAATCGTGTTTACCAGCATTGATGACGGACCAATTTCTGTAGTGAGGTGGTTGTGAACACCATTTAAGAAAATCAAAACCCCTATTTATTTGATAGGAGTCACATCAAGCCAGGGGGTGCAACCACACCCTTTGCACTCCTTGTAAATGTATCCTTGTTTCTCAGGATATCAAGCAATTCCCTATCACAAAATTGACAGTATAATTTCACTGCCTTGGTTTCATGGTATTTAGCTAACCCTGATGTGGAAATTATTCTTAATTGTGAACACTTCCAACATCATGTGTACTCTACAGGTTTCATGATAAGTAATTATTTGTCACCTCATACTTAAAATTTCATTTAACTCTCTCAACACTAGCTCATTCAATCTGACCGACCATGTGACCTCTTTGTACCTGGTTTAAAGTCTTTATAGATTTAATAGTTCTAACTTTCAATATAGTGTGTATATCTTCACAAAATTTGGCAGTCTTTCAGTTAATATTAAAAGTCTTTCACATACAAAAAAAATCTTATTTTTATTGAAGTATTTTTAATTAAATAAAATAAAGATTTGTCCATGAATATATTGAGTATTTGTTTTGAATTTGTCCATGTGCAGTGATTTTCATGTTAAAATTAAAAATATTTTTCTTCATCTCAAAAATCTCAAATTTCCTTTGTGTAATCCCTAAAACCTCCTAAATGTATTTCAAACGATTTTTTGTTCAGTAAAACTTTATAGTTTATCTGTGATTTTCTCTACCCTATCCCAAAATGGAACCGGTCAATTTGACCAACCTCGTAACCACCCAAAACAAATTTTAAATAAATCGAAATTATCCTTTTTTCTTTCTAAAATGACTTTAAATTGTGACATGAAACTACACTTGTTTATCCTAAGTAGCTCTAAGTTCGTAACAGTATTCATCTATTTATAATTAAATTTTATTGCCCTTTGATACATGTCTAACCACTATCAGCACCATTATAAGTTGTAAATCACTCGGGAAACATGCAGCTTATGTTACGCTATCAAATTACGTTACCCATGAGCTACTACAAGTTGCTCTCATGTGTGCCTTATGAAACATATTCATTGTAATACTATTATTATTTATTTTACCTAATATAATCTTAACTAACCTAAAAGGATCCCTATTTTTACATTTTAATTACTTTTATAATTATACATAAAGAATAAACATGAAAAACAAGAAATAAAATACTTAACCAATCTTCTTTTTTCTTGCTGTCAATTGTCGGAGAGGGTTAATCCTAATTTTTTACACTAATGACAGTAATGCACTTAATTTTTATTTACTTAAATAATGCACCAAAGAATATAGACTAATAACATGCAAAAAGTAGACAAATTCCCTTACCTATCAAAATTTTACTGGCTTTCTAACAATGTGACAAGAGCCATTACAAATTTATCCAAGCTAGTCGTTAACTTTCTGAAGGGAACAATATTGGTACTCTGAATGAATTGACGTTTAACCATTCAGAACAAAATGTTATACAATAAGTCATATGATAGATGAACACCTTGACTTTCTGTTGGTTATAGGTAATATATAATTAAACTTAAGAGAGAACTATTAACAAGTTCTGAAAGAGAGGATGTGACAGGTAGGCTTGGCAGGAGGGGTCTGATTTTCTATTCGATAGCTCTATAACCAAACAAAATTGAAAACTATAAAAATTATGGTTTGTCTGAGCAATGATGATTTTATAGAGAGTAATTTATGTTTAATTCCATACTTTTTTTGAGGAGTGGTGGATAAAATATGGAAGTTGACATGCTAAGAGAAAATGTGTCATGTGGGTCACACTAAGGGAAATTCAGGATTTTTTAAATATTGCCTTGTAGAATTAAGAACTTAAAACTTCTATGCTATTAAAATATAGATTATTAGCTAAGGTTTTATGCTATTCAAATTGGTATAACATAAACAAAAAGTAGTTTAATAAAATTTTGAATGTAAGACACTAAAAATTTGTGTCATGAGCAGTAAAGAATACCCATGGCAATAGGGTTAACTAGTAATCCATCCTTCATTACGAAATGGTTAACAGTAACATGTTAAACACTTTGGTAAAATAATGCCTTACCAGTCCTATGTGATTCACAGCATGAACGGAAGCCCCGTGTGATACAAGTTCTTCTGCAACATCATCGTGCCCGTTAAGACAAGCTATATGAAGTGGAGTATTACCATACGCATTCACAGCATCAATCTCTGCTCCAAGTTCCAGAAGAAGCTGAACACCACCTAAACGACCATTTGCTGCTGCAGCATGAAGAGGAGTGTACCACTTCAATGAAGAAAAACATCACATTTAGTCTTTTATATTATATACAGTATCGGAAACAGAGGGCAGAGTAGTTATATAATGCAAATTATATTAAGCAAATATGCACAAGCAAAAGTACAATGCATTATGACAGAGAATATGTAAAGTTTGGTATGTGAGTCCCTTTGTTTTATAAAAAAGCTTGATATTGCATTTTCATGCTCCTATACAGTTGTTGAACCAAGGACTATGGAATACTGTTCCAAATATCCTGTAGCACTTCCTACTGCTCATCCAAGTTGTTAAGTTGCCATTTAACTCTTTTCAGCACCCATGTAACATCCATATGACTTCAACATATTCACACTGGGATTTTGTGAAGGATACAACATCTCTGTGAGTGTTCTATAAGCTTCTTTATATCCCAAACAGGTTTTTCAATACATTGGCTGTATGCTTGGGATCACTGTCATGTTGAAAGATGAAACCCTGCTTAATGAGATGCACTTGTGACGAAATGGCATGGTGGATCAGAGCCCACCTCCTACCTGTATCAATCAGCAGTCAGGGTACCTTCAATTTTATGCAAGTCCCTAACACCATTGGTAGAGATACAGCCCCACAATTTTATCGGTCCATCCTCCAAATGAAGCTGTTGTACAACGTCTGTTAGTGTGACTGGAATGGCATAGTGGATCAGAGTCCACCTTGTACCTGTATCTATCAGTAGTCAGGGTACCTTCAAATTTATGCAAGTCCCTAACACCATTGGTAGAGATACAGCCCCCACAATTTTATTGGTCCACCCCCCAACTGAAGCTGTTGTTCAATGACTGTTATACTGTTCTTCAGTCCACCTTAAACTGCTGTTGATTATTGATAAACAGATCAAACTCATCTGTAAATAGCACCTTTTCTACATTTGAGTACCCCCACTGTTTCATTTCTATTGCCCATTTCAGTCTTTTTGTTTTGTTGCCTCTTCTCAGCAAAGATTTTTGAGTAGCTACCTACCCGTTGAGACCATTTTAGGCTAATATGTATCTTACTATTCTTCCAGCAAGGTCATTCACAAGATCTCTACTGGATCATGCAGAGAATTTCCAAAGGAACTTTACATCACCTTTGGATAGTTTAGGTTTTCTTCCTCAACGACTTTGATTGTCAACAGCACTGATTTTATGAACCCTCTTCAGAGTCTTGCACATAGCACGGGGTGAAACGTGAAGATGGGCTGCAAGCTGTCAATAGGAGTAACATTTTTATGTGTAATTTTCTCACCAGGAGTCCTAAATTTCATCACAAAATTCATACTTTAAAATCGTATCAATGCCTATACTCATGTAGGCCTTATGCTGGTTTGACACTTTTAGATTGGTTGCCTGACTTCTAATCATATTGTGCCATGTCAACACAATGCTGCATTAGGTCAAATTGCATTTTTAAATAAAATATATTATTCTATCATGTGTAATTTGCATTATATACCAACTTTGTTCTCTATTTCCATAAATATTTCCAACACTATGAACAACTATTCACAGTATAATTACATATTAAATGTGCAGACTGCGAGTAAGACATAAAACATAACAATCGATCAAAGTGAAATGAAATATGATTATCATAAATTACATAAAGATAAAAATATCCTACCCCTCAGAAGCTATAATGAGTAAACATTTATATATAATTTAATAGTAAGATGAGATTCATTTATATGTGTAAAGACTTAAACTGAAATTTTGAAAATTTATTTGTGATGTGAATTAAGTCTTACTTATCTTAATCACAAGAATGCACAGTTGGCTATCTCAGATGTGCCCACCACAGGGATCAAACCTCAAGTTTTAGTATTAAGTGCCCTTAAGCTTACCACTGAGCAAATGTGGGAAATTAATTAGGCCACCTAGCTTTGGCAAAAACATTCTACATATAAAAAGCATTTTTCAACAAGTGTAATATCACTAGTAGAACTTGTTAAAATTTGACAAAATTTAGAGAGTTGTGGCATTTCACTCAATTTACTTCCTTATAAACCATATTTTCAGTATCTGCACCTTCAGGGACATAAATTTTTAACTGATTGAATGACCATACACTTGACAAAAGTACGTTGATCTGACTGTAGGAAAAAATTGGCTCAGCTAAATGCAACCCTGATGGACATACATCCATTTTTCCAAAATTAAATTACTGTAAGAGTCCTTTAAAAATTTGTGAAATAAAATGGACTAGTTAATATTACCAAAAATGTACATATAAAGAAAAATTGATACTTTGAATACCTGTTTATCCCTGACATTCAGCTCTGCCCCAGAATCTTTCAGTAACTGAATAACATCAGTATGTCCCATGTATGCAGCCCAGTGAATTGCTCGCCTGTCTTTCTTGTCAAACGAGTTACATGTAGCTCCATTCTTAAGTAGAAGGTCGACCATCTGCATAAGTACCAGTGAATTATACTAAATAAATGTTATAAAATTTACAATATACCAATTTTTAAATATTTTTGATTTAAAATTATTCAAATAGAGTTACAATTAACATAGAAAATTTACTTAAAACTTTGTGCCAAAAAGAAAATTGTCAAATATAAAGGCAAATAATATAAAAAGTAAGTGATCAAGTAATTTAGGATTAAATTACTTTTTAAGTATTAAATTGTTGTACATGAAAATATATCCTACACAACCTCATTTAACAAGCTGAAAATATAAATATGACTATGTATGCTTCTCCCTACAAATTTACAGAAAATTACTGTACTACCTTTTTCTTTTAACAAGCATGTACTTTTTTTGTCTCTTCTTAAAGTATACTTACTACCCATAAGGCCTAGAGGCTGAAGCCCTTGTTTCTAAAACACAGTTGCCTGAGCAAACTTTCAATGAAGTACACTAAGGTAGCATTTCCCAAAATCTTGTCATCCGCATCTCCCTTTTAATAAATATGGTTTCTTGTGTCCCCCTCCCTTTTAAATGAATGAAAGAGTGAGTTAAGTGATGAGATATAACACACGGATATAAGTTAACTCTTTCAGCACAGGCTCGTAATCATTTTGTGCTTGCTATAGTTTTCATGCTATAACTTTTAAATTTGTAGTAGGCTTGGTTTGGTCTGATAATTCATTGGTGGTAGTGTCCAGGGTCACTAATGAGGAGTGGAATTCTTCGAAACTAGTCTGGCTTACAATGAAAGAATAGACCATTCCAAGCTTTTACTTGTTGTTAAACAAATGTTTGAACAACTCTATTCAATTGTTGAAGAATATATTTCAAAGACAGAACAATTCAACAAATGTCAAGATGTCAGAATAGATAAGAACTGTTTACATGTAATGCTAAAGCATTAGTTACCTCTTAACTTGTACATATGATATCTTATAATGTTCTTCCCTACTGACTTAATTATGTCATAAAACAAAAGTTTAAACTTTTTTTGCACAGAAAATATACCAATAATTTCATTAATACACAAAAATCTGCACCTTACTTCATACACATACCTCTGTATGACCATTATAAGAAGCATGGTGTAAGCCTGTGCGTCCTGCTCGGTCCGAAATATTTAAATTATTTTGAAGGGGAATGATAAATTTTGCACATTCTATGGCATTGTTGGCTGCTGCAACATGGAGAGGGGTCTGCCAGCTTTTGTCTCTTGCATTAACATCAGCTTCATGTCGAAGTAATGTTTCCACAGTATCCTAAAAAGTGCCAAAGTTCACTTAAACAAGATATTTTTGGGGGGAAAAATATTTCTTAAAGAAAACCTAATCTCTAGTTTGCTAGCATATCTTTAATTTTAGAAAAACTTAGTCATAGACAATGACACACTCAGAAACTACAATTATAGCTACACAAAAGTAATAACCCCCCCCCAAAGTTCGTTATCTACTGTAGCAAGCTTTCCACATCTCTCTTAAAACTCAAATTCGTGTCAATACAGCACAATCAACATACATGTATATTGTACTAAATCTTATGTTCAAGCCATTCTACAGTCACCAAAATCACTTGCAATACTTTTTAGCATTAACATCTGGTTTGTTATGCAAAACACAAAAAAAAGATAAAAAATTTGAAATACCTCACTTCCTGTGGAGCACGCTCGATGTAGTGGGGTTATCCAACGATTATCTTTGGTGTTAACTCGAGCTCCGTTTTGAATTAGAATTTCAGCAATATCTGCTTCTCCACAGAAGGCAGCAGCATGTAGTACACTTCGACGTTCCGTATCTTGATAGTTCACATCTTCTCTTTGTAAAATCAGTTCACGAACTTCATCTGCATCTCTTTTGAAAACAGCATGTATAAGCAAGGGCTGAAAAAACAAACAAAAAACACTGCACTAGTTAACAAACATTAATGCTAATAATATCAAAACCACTAGTTAACGAACACTAATACTAATAATATTAAAACCACTAGTTAATGAACATTAATACTAATAATATTAAAACCACTAGTTAACGAACATTAATGCTAATAATATCAAAACCACTAGTTAACGAACATTAATGCTAATATCAAAACCACTAGTTAACAAACCTTAATGCTAATAACATCAAAACCACTAGTTAACAAAAATTAATGCTAATATCAAAACCACTAGTTAACAAACATTAATGCTAATAATATCAAAACCACTAGTTAACAAACCTTAATGCTAATAACATCAAAACCACTAGTTAACAAACCTTAATGCTAATAACATCAAAACCACTAGTTAACAAACCTTAATGCTAATAACATCAAAACCACTAGTTAACAAACCTTAATGCTAATAACATCAAAACCACTAGTTAACAAACCTTAATGCTAATAACATCAAAACCACTAGTTAACAAACCTTAATGCTAATAACATCAAAACCACTAGTTAACAAAAATTAATAATTTAAAACCACTAGTTAACGAACATTAACGCTAATATTATCAAAATAATGAATGAACTGAAAAGTAGCTACATACCATACATGAATGTAATGCCTAACACAAACTTAGCTTATGCTTGTTTACACACATCCAGAGCCTTAATAATAGTTTTATTAATAAAAAAAACACAAGTATTTGGTAAAATGAACAAGCACATACAGTAAATTTTTCTCTGTTCACTCTATCTTTATTGTTTTAAAAGACAGAAAATAAAATACTCAACAGTCATGAAGAAATTCTGCATTCATTTGCCAGTGTCAAATTGACCTAAGTTTCTCAATTATTAAAAGTTGTTGTCACTTGGGAGTTTAATGGTTGAAAACCTCACATATTACCTGTGCTAAACATTGTTCTTTTTAGATTTTATTACTTCTACTACACAGCATCTATAGTGTCTAATTAGAGCCTATTTAAAACTAAATAAGAAACTCGGATAAATTATAGTAGTTTTGAGACATTCTATTCTAGTGCTCGATATATTCTTTGAATTCTAAAATGAATATCTGAAAGCTATATTAATTATTTTTTGACAACCAAAAAAGTCTGCAAAATGGCCTCTAGACAAAGTGTTAAATTTTGCTTATTATGTATTGTCATCTGTTTTTTTTACAAAAATAACTAAAATGTAAAAACTATCAAAAAATTGTATGAAAACAAAATTAAAATATTTCTTGTAACCCCTCCTCCCAGAAAGCACAGTTTCCAATAGTGTGATGTAACCTGATACTTCATTTATCCTAAGTTTTCCACTGAAAAAATTCATTGCTTCTCACAATAAAACCATAAAATTAAATGAAAGCAGATGTAAAAAGGTTTGAAGATGAAGCTGTTACAATAAGTAATTGTAACTGTGTTACAATCTGCAGTCATTCTAGAGAAAAAAAATATTTTAAAATAAATTTTATATCTTTGAAAATTTATTTGCTTTACATTAATGATTTCACAAGTGTTAGGGTATAGAAAATTGGAGTATAACGTTTTCCCAATTTAAACTTCTGACATTAATTTAGAAGGTTCTAGAAGTTATGCAAATGAGATATAAAAACCATAAGATGGAAAGAAGTATTTTTATTCTTAGTCTAAAAATAATTTTTCACTCAGAACGACTGAGTTTAAGGCTTCTTAAATTTCAGTAGAAATAGTAAAAATTCTGATTTTTTTGTGTGCTACAGAGTTGTTTACTAAATGTTTGCCAAATTTTGTGAAAGTACATGTAGTAAATTCAGATTAATAGTAAACGTTACTATACATCGCTTCACAGATGATAGGGTCAATCCAATTAACTAATGCTGTGCACACAGGGTTATAGAGAAGTCAATACTTCAAGCCTGGGATATCTAATTTCTGATGATTCAACAGAAGACTACAGTGAGGTGGGAGGAGGTAACAAGCAATAGACGGGTAGGCTAAACTTCAGGTTCAACAGTGTCATCCAATGGCAGGTTCATCTCGGTCATCTGTGCTTGAATATTTAGATCAAAGGTTGAAATAACAGACCTTCATTTGCAAAGAAAGCAAAACCTACCAAAGCAAGAACTTTGCATCATATTGCAAAGAAAGTTGCAAATATCAGAGGTGAAGGGGAGGTTCAGAAGACTGTGTGTGCAAACAATGGACTGGAGAAGTGAAGAAAACCCTTTTGCAGATTCAAGGTCTCTGGCTGAGGTAAAGACCAAAGATCCATAGTCCAGCTTTGGTAAAATAAAGGCATAATAGATCTTAAACACACAACACCTATACACTCCCCAGGGTTGTAAACTGTAGATGTTCAGTACTCTTATACACTTGACTCTAAGCTGCTTCGTGTATGTGTAATAAAACTCAATTTAAGATGATGAAAATTCAAAACTGTTTGCAGTGGTCCACTCATACAGTTTATTGAAGGCAACTGGAATTTCCATTCATTGAACCTCATAGTCAATGATTGATAATAAATCTGAAAGTCACTGGCATATAGGCTGTTTTCAACTGTAGTAAGAAGTATTTTATTGATACAAGTTATCTTAACCCTCTCAGGACCTGCAGGGTGACACTGTGTAACCCTTGTTGTTTTTTCCATACTTACAATGCTTAACTTAATTGCATGAAATTTGGTACATGCTTTCTATATAATATCTAGTTTGTGCTCGAGGAAAATTATAATTTGGCTTAGTATTTGTAAAATATTTTAGGTTGTGAGTTTCTGGAAATTTTATCGTGAACAGTTTCATTTCATTGACTTAAGGGATTCTTGTACTTATATGTTGTTCAAGTAATAATAAATATATTCATACATGAAAGAAAAAAGCCTTTCTCTCATCTGAATAGTTTGCTGTCAACTCCTAGCTTACTGTACTCATTAACCCCAAATAACCATGCATGATGTCTTCTCATATAAGAATATTTCTGTAATTTATAAAAAAAGACCTAACACTGTAACACAAAAAGATGATCATGAATGCAAAGATTACCAAAAGAAAGAATAAGAAAACTCCCAGGTTTATGACTTGTTCCTATGTTTTGTAAACTTATTAGAATCCTTCGTTCTCCACTATGAGAGCTTTTGATACTCACTTTCTCAGAAACCATAAACTCTTTACTGCTTACCCCACCTTCTTTACTTTGGCATCACTTCCTATGGCATCATAAAAGCCTCTCAACACAGGGTTCTTAAGAGTCATTGAGACAAATAAAAACATGGATATGTCTATTACTAAGGGATGCCAGTGTCTGAGTAAATAGAAACCTTTACATTGGGATCAGCAGAAAAATTCTTAAAAAACTTATAAGGGCATTGTTTACATGAGACATCTCTTGGAGCCATGCAGAGATCTAATTTCAAACATTTCTTTCAATTTTTCTTTGCAAATTGCCCTAAAAAATTTTGCATAGTTACCAAATATCAATACTTAGATAATTTCAAGTAAAAAAATTGTTGAAATATTTTGAATTACTAGTTCTACTTAAATTGGGAAATTTAATATGCAATAATGCCCTCAACTCCAGCGAGCTACCATGTTTTCCTGATAGGGTTAATGCAACAACATGTGGCATTCAAGACAAAACCTTGAAATACTCTTGAGTTTTTTGCAAAGGACTGGGATAATGTTAATCCCAAAAGGTCCACGAATGACCTCTATCCTAAAAGGCTAATAATAAAAATGGCCAACTAACTTATAAAAATGAAGATCACTTTTTATACTAAACCTCCATGTGGTATCAAGCCATCTCAAGTTAAAAAAACAAAACAAAGAGCAATGCTCCCTCTTGAGGAGGGCTTCTGTGGTTGATGTTTCTAGCCATATCAGGTGGTCCGTGACGGATCTAAGAAAATCACACTGGGGTGATGGAAAGGAGGTTGTATGATGGAAGAAACCAAGATAAACATTAATTATTCACTCCAGAACTTTACATATACAGCTAGTCAAACTAATAGTTCTATAATTAGAAGAAAACTTGGAATACTTCACAGGCTTAGAAAAATGTATGACAACAGCCCAATGCCATAAATAATGAAACTCCTTCTGTCAGACCTGGTTAAAAAGAACTAGAAAAAGACCAAAAGGGAGGATACAAATGGTGCAGCAACTCATAATGTACATATCATGTTCAACTGATGTACCAATGTAGGGCATCTTTCAAACTCATCAGAGTGAATTTCTCATCACAGTCGTAAATAAACAATCACACTGACAAGAATGTGGAGAATGTCTGTAGGTCCTCTAGTGGTAGGAGATGCACTCTCCAAAACCCTATAAATAAGTAACTTCATGGGCTTTTGGTTGCAAGATTTAAATGGGGATGGGTTAAAGACTTATATTCAGCTTTTTGAATCTTGTCCCATATAACCTTTAAACTGGTGGTGAATTAAACCAAGTTTCCTTCCAGCTTCTCTACTGGTCATGGGTAATGGTTTTCAGAAAAGCTACATGACTGGTAAAAGTTGGATAACTGTGAAAGATATCCTGGTTCATTTCTGAATACACGGTGCTGCCTTTTAGCATTCAGGTGTCCACCAAGGAGAAGACATCCTGGAAAATTTGTCAATGTTTATAGGATGTTAAGTGCAGTTGCCTTAAGTATATGATCAACTATTGGATCTACAGTCATTAGCAGATGCTAAGATAACAGCAACATGCTCAAGCTCCAAGAGAATGGTTAAGGACAGCTCCTCCAGCTTCCACTGTGGCATATTGTTTGGATGGTATCTACTGTAAACAATCTCCCTCTGAATAATGGAAAAATAATCACTGTCTCATGAATCATCAACTACCTCCCAAGAAAAAGAAAGATGGAGAGAAGACAACAAATGGACAGATCTTTGGAATTAAATGCTTATGGACATGGAAAGGTAGATTCTCCAATATTGAAGAGAAAAAGGTTATGATCCCACAGTAAATGTTCTATA